GGATGTTTTTAAAATTTCAGATTGCGAACCTGTTATTTGCTTACAACAATAATGGAACAAGATTCACTCCATACAGCGATGCAAGGAAATGTATCCATGATCCTCTTCCAGTTTCTCACAGGCTAAATTGGTCGACCTACTAAATGTCCCTGTTTGATTTACCATTCGGACTCATAAGTCTCAGCAAATACAGCGGCTCCCAGCCGGGCTCTGTGTCGGATTTCGCAATGTAAACTCTAGGCGTAGCCTCAGATGATGACAGGGAGCGACTATTTGATCTGTCACAGTGAAGTTTGTCTCCCTGCAGCAACAACAGTGCTGAGCTATTTCCACTTGCTCTCAAGTTTGTCTAAGAGCTTTAATGTTGACCCTGGAGACACAGATGTCACTTTCTTCCTCTGACTAGCCCATGTTTCCTTCACCAAGAATTAGACATTGCGATACCAATTAAATGTTGCATGGAAGTGGATTAAGATCCTCATGTGCATTGATGCCAGACAGAAACATCTGTTCAATTATTAAAAAACAGCAGCACAGATTCTATCGTATTACTTTCTATAAGTCTGTTTTAGTGATATCTCCAACATAAACATTGCATCTGTCTGGTTTCTTTGGTTTTTGCAGTGAAGAGTGACATCACAGTCCATCAGAATGGCAAGCCTCAGACACCAACACTTGAGACAGAAGCTGAAGCTGAGAGTGTGATTGTTGAACCGGATCCTCAGCCAGCTCCTGCAGAAGGTGTCTCTGAGTTCACCGACGCCCCCCCCGCTGACAAGGAATCAGTCAAGAAACACAAGGAGAAAACTCATGGTTTTGGGAAACTCTTCAAAAAGAAAGCAGCTCGTAAAGCGGAGGAGGGGAAAGATGAGGATGGAGAGAAAGAAGATGAGGCATCAAGTAAAGATCAGCTGGATGGGAGTCAGGTTCTCACTGATCCTCCGCAGGCGAGTCCAAATTCCTCTTCATTATTTATTTAAAATAACATGTTTGAATCTTTGAAAAAAAACACTTTATAATTTCTTTTTAAATTAGTTCTACACTGCAAAAACCATCTAGAAATAAGTAAAAAAAAA